AGAAGAAACTGATTGATTTGTTGGAACCAGCAAATACCCCCCCCCTGGTTCATTCATAATTATTCCAAGTAATCATCACCCGCTAATGAGAATGGCCTATAGAGAAGGTTGGAAATTGAGGCACAACCCTCACCCTCGTTGGATTTGGGGAGCCACTCAAACATCTGAGCAACCAACAAGGCTAATTATCAGAAGAATTGAGTATGATACATCGAGTAACGGTTGACTCGATATGAGGAGCGACGGCCACTTGCTCATGAGACCTCAAGGGAAACTCCTCGGAGAATCTCGGTGGTTGAGAAAGTGACAACCATCCAAAATAAAGATTATTTCAAGAAGACAACCTCGATGAAAGTCGGAGCATATCTCCAAAGCCCGAAGAAGTAATACACATACTATCGGGACAATAATCATGGCATAGAGTGTTAGTATCTTCAAAGATTAATCAAAGATCATATCAAAGTCGAATATTTAAAGGAGTTTGTGGTTCGTGGAGCAACCTCCCAGCAATAAGGAAAGGCTCATGTTGAAGAAATCACAGGCAAGCCTATTCAAACCCACCTGATACATATAGTTAGCATAGTTCTTGCCATCATTGGAGGGGATGGAGAGTCATTTTGCCAAGCCGACATGAAAAGGTCTCAGACATGTGAGTTATATGTAGACGCTATGGTGCTACGATGCAGCTCACATCCTCTCATCTCTTTTACCGAAATAGATCTACCATAGAAGGGCAATCCATACATCAATGTTATAGTCATCATCGCCCTAATCACCAATTACCAGAATGAGAACACACTCATCTACATTTATAGCTTGATGAATACTATCTTTAAATCGATTTTTGATAAGAGGGTTTGAGCACCTCTCGTCTTTCGGCTACGCCCAGATCACTCTACTGGTTATCTGTAATAAGCTCTAGAAACCCTTGCTTTGATAGTCACCCGAGAAGAAGGTGAGAAGCAATTCACAGACATGCCAGCTTTTCTTATAGTTGATTCATCACCCACCAACATTTGGTTGCCTGTTGCTTAGCTCCTTTTGAGTTTTCACCTTCATGTATTGTAATGTTTTGGGCGATGAGGAGGTGATCATTGTTCAAGGTGACTTGGAGTAGTCCCGAACCTGTTATCTCAGAGCGGCCGAAAGCATTCATCAGGAGTCTCTTAACCTTCACATCTAATGAGTGGAAGGCCCTGAGACTAGTTAGATCAGCAAGAAGGTCCTTGTACACAAGAACGATGCTAGTAAACTTTTCTTACTAAGTGATGCTTTTGATGCAAGTCATAGAGATGAGTTGGTATGGACTATTTGGAGCCACTGATATGTCTTCGCTTGGTTGGTCGTCAAAATGCCTTGGGTGTCTGTCAATGTTGCCTATCAACGATTGAATATCAATCTAGCGATCTAATTGATGAAGCATAAGATGAGGATGTTTGCAGCACATTGGTGAAGCTGATCTGAGAAAAGGTGCAAAAGCTACTAGAATTCAGTTACATCTAAGAAGTTTAGTACCCCGAGTGGATATCTAATGTAGTGATGGTCCAAAAGGCTAGTTGTATGTCTGCCTGAAAGACATCTACTTCCTACCAAATATTAATGCTCTCATAGACGCAACGGTCGATCATTCAATAATAAGCTTCTTTGGCACTTTCTCCTGCTACCAATAAATAAAGATGCACCTAACCAATGTATAAAAGATAACATTCATCACCAGTGAGGGAGTTATTTTTAAAATGTAATGTCCTTCGAGCATAAAAATATTGGAGTGACCTATCAACTTCTGATGAAAGTAATCATTTCAAAATAAATTGAAAAAATTTTAAGGTGTATCTATATGATGTATTAGTAAATGTAAGACACATAGCAAACATCCAAAACTTAAAAGAAAATATCTTCAAAACACTAAAAAGTTTAAGATGAAGCTTAACCCATTAAAATGCACATTCGACGCAGTGACAGGAAAATTAGCGGGTTAACTTCTAACCCCTGACAGAGTTAAAACCAATCCGGAGAAAATTCAAACTCCAATCAACATGACATTCCCTTGAAACACCGTGACAGGAAAATTAGCGGGTTAACTTCTAACCCCTAACAGAGTTAAAACCAATCCGGAGAAAATTCGAACTCCAATCAACATGGCATTCCCTTGAAACACAATGAAAGTCCAAAAGCTTACCAGTCTAATCACAGGGTTGAGTCGTTTCATCTCAAAGTCATGTGATAATTGTGCGGCCTTCTTCAATGACAAGCAAAAAACTTTAGTTGGTCGAATGAATTTTGATCAAGTATTTAGAAAATTGAAGGACTCCCTAGCCTCACCACCACTACTCCATAGCCCATAGCAAAATGAAGAACTTTTCCTATAATTAGGAGTTGTACCTGAGGCAATCAACTTGGTTTTAATCTAAGGGGAGCAACGGAAGTCGTTCTCGGTCCACCATGTTAGTCAATTCCTCCGAGGAGCTGAGCTTGGGTATTCAATTATGAAAAAAATAACATTCTCACTCGTTTTTGCTCGCAGTTTATGCACGTACTCCCAAGTGTATCCGATCAGGATCATCACCGACCATCCGCTCAAGTTAGTCCTTATAAAGCTGTAACACATCGGTCGGCTTCTCAAATGAACAGCAGAACTCAACGAGTTTGATCTCTCATACGTGCCTCAAACTGCCATCAATGCTCAATCCACAGGCGACTTCTCTGAGTCAAGCAAGCCCAACAAAGAAGTGGCGATTGATATCCATAACTGGGTCCTCCATATCAACGGAGTGTCTAGCCAATACAAGGTGGGTCTCGATCTCGCTCTAGCAAATCCAATAGAGAAAATCTATACCACTCGATAAAAGTGGGATTGAAAGTCACCAACAATCAAGATGAGTACAAAGTCTTAATTTTCGGGTTACAATTCGCTTATGAGATTGACGCACGACACCTCATGGTGAAATTTGACTCACAGTTAGTGGCCAATCAGATAAACGGGCAATTCAAAGTCAGAGAAAAGATGATGGTTCGATACCTCAACAAGGTCAACACAAAGATAGAGAAATTCAAAGATTTCAAGATTGAACATGACCCTAAACCTCCTATCTAAATGCATTTGTTTATGAAAAGGAATGCCTCAGAGACTCCACCGACCAACCATTGAAGAAGCCAAGATGATGGAAATAGAAGCTAAGGGAACAAAGAGTTGTGAAGATCAGGAACATCGCTAAAGAGGTAACCGACCCGAAGCCTTCAAGATCAAAACTGCTCAGCATTTACTGATCGAGAGAATTTTTTTAAAATTTTAATCACAACACTATACTTGAGAAGCATAAAGGAAAATGAAAAAGAAAAAATACTGAGAGAAATACATTCTGGCGAATGCGGAAGCCACGCCGAATGGAATACTTTGACTTACAGGATATAACCGCAAGGATATTTCTGACCAACCGACCTTAAATAAGGATGTCTAAACAATTTGAAAAAAGGTGCGAGCAGTGGCAGATATTCACACCAATGCAGCACCAACCATCCAACAAGCTATAACTGATTGTCAGCCCTTAGTTGTTCGCATTATAGGGACCCAATATCCTCGAATTGTTCCCTCCGTCATGCAAACAACATAATTTCTTGCTCATCACATTATATTACTTCTCCAAATAGGTTGAAGCAAAACGCTCGCTCGGATCACAACCGAGATTATTTGGAGTTTCATTTACTCATCTGATCTGTCGGTATGGTTTGGTGTTGATTATCAACACAGACAACTTGACACAGTTTGCTGACCAAAGAGTGAAGGATTTCTTCCTAAATTAGGGGATCTACATAAAGGAAGTTGGCTTTAAGCCTTACCAACTGTTTTATGGGTGATTTGGACAACTGTGTTAATCATGACTGAGCAAACTCTATTTATATTTCACATAAGATGGAAGTCATGCTAACAGTTGATTATAACCTTCATAACCAAATGGATATAGAAAATAGTCTTACTTGCAAAGCGCATATATATATATAATATATATATATATATATATATATATTCAATCCATTACTTACGAGATTTGGTTTGAGAGTAGTAAAATTTTAGAAAAAAATTCTACTCCCATTGATGTGATTATTAAAAACAATAATTGAATCATCAAATAAAAAAACAGAAGCTAAAAGTTTAAACATAGCAATCATCCTTATCAGATTGCCTCCTACATGATTTATTTGCATTTAGGCTCAATGCTTCCTTTTTCAATTACTTCCAATCTTATCTTAGATGAGTTAGTATTTTGTTTGGTGGATGATAACTCCTTTTTGGTGTTTTATAAGCTGTATGCTTCCTTTTTCAATTACTTCCAATCTTATCTTATTGGTGGATGATAACTCCTTTTTGGTGTTCTATAAGCTGAAATGATCTCAATATTTGCTTTGAGGCTCATCCGTTTTTAATGATTTTTTTGACATGTATACTTTTTACTTATATCTAATATCTTCTAATACATCAATGGAATCCTCTTATTGGGATTCAACCATATTACGACTATATATTTCTTTCTTTGGTTAAATCCCAAAACAATTCACTCACAATTATAAGAAGATTTACAAGCAAACCACTCAATTCTAATATATTTACATTTATAACACTTAAACTTCAATTTTGACATACATGCCACCATAAATACGAGCATTTACGTACCTAATTCTGATGCATTTACCTATCTAACACCTAAACTTTGATTTTTTTTACATTCATGCCACCCAAATCTTTCACATCACATAAAAAAAATACTACTATTTTAACTTTTGAAAAGCAAATTACACCTTTTAATGCATATGTAGGATGGCGCATACCTAAAAACTAAAGTTCAAGTGCAGACAAAAAAACACAAGCATAAAAGAATTGAGTGGTATATATGTAAACCTTCCAAAAGTGCTTCTTACCTTCTAAAGGTCAATAAAAATACTTTTGTTGTGAAATAAAAAGGCAAAGTTATGTGTTAGACATGTAATATCATGCCTCATCACGTACCACATATTATCAAAAATAATTATTTGACTGCTCAAAATTTCTATTTCCAGAGAAGATCTCCACACACTATGCCAAACTTAGCAATCATTTGTTAATGCAATTGCTTGCAAAGTCCTTGTTAAAATGCTACTAGTTGAGCATGTAAATGAAATAAATATATCAAATGAAGGAAATTATTTGTGCTGTTAAACAAGATGAAAGTTACAGGAGGTCCTGACTACTGAGCCACTTTCATTACATCTTGCCCCCTGCAAGTAAGGACTAAAGTAAGAAAACCAATAAGGGTGGCATTTACATACATACCACCTAATTTTTATGTATTTACATATCCAGCACCTAAATTTTGCTTCTTTAAATTTATACCACTGAGATCGTTTATGTCACATCAAAAATGTCACTTTTTTTTTATACATTTTAAGAAGTAAAATACACCTCATTCATAAAAAAGGTGGTGTGTGTGTGCGCGCACGCGTGCGTGGAAGGGGCATTTAGATTCATAGCACACAAGTCTTAAGTATTTACATATCTTACACCTAAACTTGCATATTTACACACAGCACTCAAATATTTAATATCACATCAAAAATAGTACTATTATTATTTTTTAAAATTGACTTTTTATGCATACATTTAAAACAATAAAGTACTATGTACGTAAAAATAAAAGTATAGGTGTAAGATAAATAAAGACATAATAATTGTGTGCTAATACGTGAAGTTTAGGAGTTAGATATGTAAATACATAGTAATTGAAGCGTGTATGTAAATCTTCCAAAATAAATTAAAAAAAAAAAAACCTACAGCAAGAGAAAAGCATACCTCATTGCCATTTCAACCATGCGGAAATGAAAGTCCCACCCTCACCCAAACAACTGCGGCACAACACCATAACGTGAGTGATAGACAAGAATAGTCAATTTGGTTCAATCATCGACCAAGATATCGAAGCACTCCCTAAGGATTGTTCCAGGGGTGCGCCCGAATCCGTCGGCGATTCTCATCATTTGCTTAAGTTTCATTTCTTCGTTCTTTATCTGATCCACTCTCGTCAAAACGATGGTGAGCAAAGCATCACTATCACGGCCGTTGGATAACGGCGCCTGCCTGCCGAGGTCGCCTCTTTCTGCTTCGAGCTGCTGATAAAGACTGAGAAGAAAGTCTTTCTGGGCATAAAGCTTTTCTTCTGCTATCTTGTATTCAGATTCTTGTGATTTTTTCAAATTATGAAGGGCGCGATCAATTTCATCTTCAAGCTTAGCAGAGACAATTTTATGATCTGATGTTATGTATAATGGCCCCTCTCGTTCCCTTTCATTTGGAACATTATGAAATGAATTTCCGGCATCACATATTGATTCGATGGGGGTGTCAGCTCTTGAATTTTCCGAAGAATCAAGTAATACTACTTCCTTACCAGAAGGAGCTACATCAATAGATCAAGCAGATTTAATTACACTAATCACCAAAAGAAGAATCCCATTCATATAGAGTCACATATTGCACACCTTTTAAAGTTTGTAAAATGGTAAAACATAGCTAATATAGCTATATTTAACAGAGAAATTAAAAATGCAGTAAAATTCACTACCATCATCTTTAAGATATGATGCAAGGAGGATGGTCCACTTTAAACTAAATATAAAATCATTTCTTTAATTTACAGCATAAGAATCATATTGCGGATCAAATTTCAGTGATTTACATGATGATTTAATCATTCATCAAGCATATAATAAGAAAAATTGAACAGCATATAGAAGTACTACAGATATTTTATTTTATCCATACATTTATGCAAGATATTATAAACAACTAATGTATTTGATACTAAGGCACTAGAAGGTGATTACACCTGAAAATTTTGAATAATTTGATAGATTTTCAAATGATTTTACAAATTATTGAAATCAAACATGTGATTACTTTTAATTTAGAAAAGAGAGGCAGAGGGTTGTCAATCGATACAATAAAATATATTTTTCAAGTGCTTATAGAAGGGAGGTCTTCCGGAACGTCACGGGGTTGCTGCAAATTTTAGTACCATCAAGAAAAGCTTTCAGCTAAATTAGGATAAGCTCCAATTTGGACACCCATAGAAGAGAAAGGAAGAGAGTTACAAAAATAGCAATAATGCCCTTTCTCTAAGTATATACCTCAACTTTGAAGTATTTTGTTGTGTTCACTCTGATAATGAAAAGGAAAATAATTTCTCTATCCTTATCTTTAACTTAATAATGGAATATAATCTTTTCATATCACTCTTTAGAAATTTAGTGGACCATGCATATAAGTGTCTCATAGAACATCATATAATTTGTGTACATATGTTTGTTTATTTTGTTGTATTTTATTTCTCATTTTTGTGTGTTTGCTTATTACTATTAACATTACATAGCATTGGGTGATTCCATTTGGGCAAGGATTGACTCTCTTAACCCTTTTTGTCAGCTTATATTAGATACTAGATTGAGTGATTCGAAAAATGCTCTAAGGCCGTGCCACATTCGGATAATTTTCATGGTCATAACTGTTGCCTTTGATTGAATTTGGGAATTTTTTTTTTTTTTTTGACCATGCAAATTGTGTCCTTCATTAAGCTATAACACAAGAAGTATCATCCCCTGGAGAGGACAATTTACAACATTGGATCAGGCTACCATGATATCTACCAACCTGCCACAAACATCACAGAAGAAAGAACTGAGTCCCAACTATTAGGCAATCAGACACTATAGCCACATTCAATTGATTGGCCATGAAATTCTATTTTAGGTATAGTTCCAGCAACTCCTACTTGTTAAGGTGGCATGGGTTCGATGCATTATTTATATAAGTCAAGGCACTTTGAGAGCAGCAAGGGCTCATAAGGCTTTGTATACCTCGATATTCAGTTGTATGAGAATTCCAATTTTCTGTGCTGAGGTGTAGTGGAGTATTGGGACCCTTCAAAAACCATTTCACTGATCAACAAGAACTAGAAATAATCTTGTAGAAGCTAATTATTGTTTCCAGGTCGTATCATCAAAAGGGCATGCAAAGAGTTCATCGCCTTCAATGAGGAGTTTTGTCATCATGTTGCAGTGACCAGAGATGAGCATGGGGTGGCAATCTATCATCACATCCACTACCAGAACTTGAGATTTTTCAAATAACAACGCAAAAGCATGGTGTTGCTGAAGTATCTTCCAAAGCTCCGAACTTGATCCCAAAGGGCATTTCGATGTGCAACTTTTGAGTTCTAACACCATTCACCATGCTTCCCTAGCACTTTAAGATCCATTTGAGGTTATACTAAGAAAAGCCATGTGTCTTGGAAGAGAAAATCTTCAGGGATAGATGAGAAGCTATTCTTTGTGGGCTTTAGCTAACTCTATCCTTTCATCCTCCCACAAGGAAAAAAGATTGTACAACGTTGTTCATTGTTGATGGCCAACCTTATGCATTGGGATGTGGTTCTTTTATAGTGTAAGAAATTGATCCGACATGCCCACTCGACCCGAAAAATGTGGATTTGGTTCACCCAAATAAATTTCGAGCCGGGTTCAAGTTATGAATCCAAAGTCGTTTAATTTTTTCAGGTTGGGTTTCGAGTTGACCGTTCAACCAAAAATTGACTCGAAATTGATCTGATATCAACCCAATTTTGACCCGAATAGCTGTTATTTCTTATGTTAAATAGATTATACGGGTTGAAGATAGGTAGGGTTATTTTGAATCATTTAAGACAATTCAATTCGGGTCAATTTCAAGTCAAACCCAAACTCAAGCCGCGAACATAATTTGACACCCTGTTTTTTTTTGCTCCAGCTATGGTAGCTCGCACCTTTAAAGGGCTTTAGTAGCTTCCCAAGCTAAGGATATAAAAAAGTAGGAGGTGGACGTACTGTGCAATGAAAATTGGGATAAATCCACCTTTATATTCAGGAAGATTTAGATTATATAGTTATGTCTCAAGTGGGTATGACCCTTACTCTTTGTGCCACATTGATACGAACTGGAGTTAAAATCAGCGAACAACTTGCGAGAATTAGGTAGGAAGAAACCCAAATTAAGGCTAATTGATTAATACCAAAAATAAAAAAGCAAGATACAAGGGTGATCTCCAATTTGAGAGGAAAATCGTCTCTCCACAAACCCTAAAAGCAGCTAGGAATAAGGAGTGAAAGTAAAGCTACAAAAAACTAGCTAATTAGCCCTCATAAATACCCCTTCAAACTTGCACTTGGGGATTAAAATAGTCCTCGGGAAAGAAAGGTTCCGCACCCTTCAGCTAGGTTAGTCGGTTTGCTTGGGTCGGCAATTCGAGCTGGATGGCTTCGGTCCAAGCCAATCCCTCTTGGAACGGCGTGACAAGCGTTTCACACACCTAGTGATAGGTCACTTTGCCCTTATTTGCTAACCAATTAGAAATTGACTTGTTTATGGTAAGGTATGACCACCATCAAGGTGCTGACATAATTTGGTATTTTTCAATGACAAATGTAGATAAAATAACAATTGTCTTGATGATCCTCAGATACCTTCAATTCAACTCAACATTATCATGAGTTCTCTAACTTTTGATCTTAGCAGCGAGGGAGCATTTGCATAAGCAGGTACATAGTTTTTCCACATAGTGAAACGTGATAACGCCACAAGGATACGACATTTGTGCAATGATGAGCAAGTATTTGCATGCAAAAATAATGACACCGACTTTTGTCCGCCATAATCAGCCTTACCCTTAAAAAAACGGTAAAGAGAAAGAGAAGGTGTGGCTCTCACTTAATAACAATCTCTTTGCCAACATCCATCAACAAACAATTGATAGACTTTCAAACAACATAACCAATAAAGAGCTTCTGGACATACAGGTCATGTTGTTTTAAGACAAACAAGACAAACACAATTGGTCGAGTATTAAGTATATGATTGTACTTTCACTAAGGCAAAAGACTGATTTAAGAGGGGGGTACAACTCCATGAGGCCGGCAAGGTAGTTTGGCCTTAATTAAGCATTATAGGCTAGTTGTCAGTGATCCTAATAATTCTTTGGCTCCTTAAATTCAGCTCAACATAGTCATGTGTTGGCAACTCATGGATAGCAGTGCGGCAGCATTTGCTTAAACTATGCACATAACACATATTATTTCCACATAATGCCACTTTATAGCTCCACATAGTTTGGCAGCTCATGGCCAATGGGAGCATTTACTTGCAAGTATCGTGCCACAAGTTTCATCCACATTTAATATCGCTACCCTATCATGAGTGACAAGAATGTGGATATTTGTTCATCAATACGCATCGGCCTACAACATTTGATGTGGCCAACCACATTTTCTTTGTTTCAAAGTTGTCCAAACAACTTGCTAGGGTGTGTCAGTGCTTTGGCATGATAGAGGATAAGTTCTGCAGTTGGGAGTCAATATGCTAAGTGAGTAAGCTTCAAATTCATAGCCTTCTTTGAGATAACGGCTCTTATTTGATTTCTTCAGAGGAGAAAGTAGAGGAAGACATCTTTATGATGAAAATTATGCATAGTGAAAGCCTATAATAAAAGGAGGTAGCTACACCTTGCCTAACCCTTTTGAAGAAAAAGAATGCTAGCATAGAGGGCATCACTATGTACACGTGGTCCATAAAGTGAGACTTGATTGCATTAATGAACAATCGGTCTTCAATCAGACCAGATTTCATGGTTAAGAAAATAGTTAGATTATAATATTCTCATTACAAGGAATCTCAACTTATCCTTCAGGTATCATGACAAAAATTGGCCAACACATTTAGATCCTAGTGGTAAGGCATGGAGCTAAGGGGCCTAAGAGGCAAGGGCTCAACTTCTAGCCAATAGGATAGGATGTAACTTGTAACTTTCTTTTGCACACTTTATTATACTTGTAGCATGCTATATCAATGCAAGAAATATCTTGTATCTTAATAAAACAAATAGATGTTGAATTGGCATTTTTTAGTTCACCCTTCACCTCCAAATAAAGGCATCTTTTGCCTCTAGTTAAAGTACAATATTATAGGGCTACTACTTGATCTTGATGGCTTATAAACTGTGGAGTTGGGGATAATGGCTTGAATCACAAAGTTCGTCGAAGTAATGAAGGTAAATGATGGCTTGGACATAGGTTTGTCGACAAAATTCATAGCTTGGCTCCAAGAGCTTGTGAGGTAGATAATAGCTTGATTTTTTAACTTCAGAACCCCTAAACATTATTCCAATTTGGCCTAAATTGGAGATTTTTCTTCTTTTGTGCCACTTGAATAACTTTGTGAAGGCTCATATTCAACAACCCAGTATGTCAGATTGTTGGCAATTTCTCATCAATCCGGTGCTTTAAGTCTAGCAATTTTCTTGACAAAATGATCCTCATTATATTAGAAAGCTCATGGATACAGAGAGCCCTTCTCCATTGTTTCTTGCTTGAT